TTTATACCATGCCATAGAAAATACAGCCAATCAGAGTACAGGAAAGCCGCTGTATATTTGACAGTATTACGTCCAACCTTCACATGACATGCTCTACGCATATGTCGTTTTGACTGTGCTGGCCACTGTATTTTCTATGGCATGAGAGCATTGCATAACTAGTATATAATTATACCAGAATAAAGTGAAATGCTATTACTGTACCATGAGTAAAATTGAAATCACAACATATGCATTAATGTTGCACACTTCTTTTACTGTAATTAGCGCCCCCTCCCCCCTCGAATAAGAGCCCCCTTTGAAGAAGCGCCCCTCCTATCGGCCGAAATTTTAAATAAGTGCCCCCTTGAATAAGCGCCCTCCTCCCCTGCCCCTCCATTTTGTGGATGAGTATTGAGACAACAAAGGATGTATAGTTTTCGTCATGTGGTATTAGATTTGTACTTTGTTTCAGTTTGTGAACACATTTAGTGAACACATTGAACACGTTAAGTACTAATGGTGCCGCGATTTAAACTTTAGGATCAGCTTTTTATGTCATTAAACAGCTTATGTTGGTGTTTACACGTAGATGATGGATTTAAAAAAAAAAAAGCCACCATTTGGGAAAAATTAAATAAGCCCCCCACCCACCCCTCGAATAAGCGGCCCGTCTTCTCCTAAATTTGAAATAAGCGCCCTGGGCGGTAATTTGAGGATTTACGGTATGTGATTGTTTCAGTGTTTGGAGTCTATCTACATGTATTTACAGTAAACTTATTTACAGCTGAAGTGTGATATAATTGCCTTGTTGACTGTCATATTTTTGTGTCTACCTGACAGCGATGATCATAGTATATTGAAATGGAACTTGTTATCAGATGAAACCACACAGGTAAACATGCACATTATATTTTGAATTGATTAGACTGTTTTTTTTTCGTCTGATGCATCAATTCAAGTATTACACTTCTTTTAGAATGACTTCTGTTTTTCTTTCTTAATCACAGGTCATTAAATTACCAGCAGAAATCTTCCCAACTGATATACACTGGTTTCCACGAAGTGCTGGAGGCAAAAAACAGAGCCAGTCTGAGTTGTTCGTACTTACCTCTACAGATGGTAACTAAACTGATAGCCAGTATTTATATTTTCATATTGCAATGGATGTCTGTGACAGAATTATAATCATAGTTTTCCATGATAGACAGACTTGACCACTGGAGTGTACAGTTGAACCTCAGCTAATGGACACCTTACATAGATGGACACCTTGGTAGTGGACCCAGCCACATACAAACACTGCATTTTTACCTTCTAAACCTGGACATTTCTCTTAAGTGGACACTTTTTCTAGTCCTGAGGGTGTCCGCTTATAGGAAGTTCAAGTATATCTGACTGAATTAATGGTACTCAATCTAGCTTCTGTGCATTTACTGTGTGCATCAGATCTTAGATTCATTTATCATATTAAGCCTTGGAAGCACGTGGATGTCAAAAGCGCCTTACTTTTGACTTTGGGTGACTGGGAAAACCTAACTTTTCCATATAAGTTTAGGTGCTGGGCACCTAGGATTTCATGGCTAGCAATGTTCGGGCTCCTCAAAATGTTTCTTAGACAACAGCCTTGGCTTTGCTTACTGGAATGTTTCTAAACTGCAATTGGCAAGCATCCCATTCAAGAAGAGCTACATGTATTATACCTTTGCTATAGTCATGTGCAGAAAAATTTTGACATAACTTAACTAAGCTGTCTCACTCTGGATGAATCTCCTGACAATTCAGTACAGACCCAACTTTATATTAAAATAATTTCCTGCAGGTAAATTCCACTTGATCTCTCGGAATGGTCGTATTGAGAAGTCTGTGGAGGCTCACCGAGGTGCTGTGCTCAGTGGAAGATGGAGCTTTGATGGGTCAGCCATGGTTACAGGTGAGGAAGAGTTCAGCTGCCCGAGCTGAAGGTTTCATTGAAGTGATCATTGATTGTTTTTTGTCATGCAATCAAGAAAATCAAATATCTTTTAGTTTTAACCCATTGGCTCCTGTGCTGCCCGTAACTGGCCGTGATGAGTGTTGGCCTTTGTTCCACTTCTGATGTCATCACCTTTGACCAAAATTGGCATTATCTATACTCAAGTTCTGCAGGGGGAAAAGATATTTGCAATGATACGCAGATCAGAGTGATTAACCTAGTGGAGCCTGAAATATGCACCAAAATGCTGAGAAATTTGAGTGAAAAACTCGGAGCAAAATTTCCTGTGGCTACACTTAGCTGTACTCCATGGTAAAAATTGCCCGTCTCTGTGATGCCTTCTCAGAAATTTTTGAACTGGAAGCAAGCCCAGAAGAAGGTCAATCACTGCAGCAAAAAGATAAGAAAAGGAGAAAAAGGAAAGGCCAAAAAAATAGAAAAAATTAAAAAAAGAAAAAAGCCTAAAGATGTACATGTAGGTCACTTTCTTGTCCAAAAACTATCTTGAAATTTTGATTTCTGCATGTGGCCAAGCAAAAATGTTGTAAAACACGATGCTAGTGGAAAGAAAGGCATGCTGTCATGTTGTAAATGCCATTTTGAGTAGATTGGAGCTAATTTGGCCCATATCCAGGCTGAAAATCTCCAAAATGTCCAAAAAATGTGTTTTTGGTAGAAAGCTCCGGGAGTCAATGAGTTAAGTAAACCTGTTAAAATACAAAGCATAATGCTTTGGTATTGGTGGGTGAAATTCTCCAGGTGACCATTTTGCAAAAAAATGGCAGTTACCAAATGATGTCAAAAATTATGGTAGAGCACGCTTGACAAGCTCAGTATAAGACCCAACTCTGCAGTTTAAGAGATTATCTTAGTACTATTTTAAATCTAGTTTCTCTCACACTGATCATGCATGCATGTTTTTAATCTTTTTTGCTCAGTTGGAGAGGATGGTCAAGTGAAGATCTGGTCCAGGAGTGGCATGTTACGGTCAACTTTGGTTCAAACAGGTTTGTTTATTTGTGCTTCTCAAACTTTCTTAGTTTATATCATCAAGTAACTACATGTATTCAAAGAAAAGCCACTAACTAAAGTTACATGCATTTTTATCACGGTGAACTTTCCTAAGGGTTAGTGTGATGGACTCTGGATTGCGCAGGCCATTATTTATAGTTTACACTATGCAGTGTCTCTGATTAGTAAGCTTGATGGCTGGCTAGAAGACAAGACACTGTGATGAAGTTGTTGACTTGGTTGATTGACTGAAGGAGCGATTGATTAATTGATTGATTAATTGACTGATTGGTTAAATGAATGTCTTTTGTTGATAACAGTATTTCCCAAGACTGGGACAACATCACAAGTCAAGACAAAACAAGTCATTTTCATGACAATTAGCCAACATATGTTTTTCCTTACCCTTTCCTTTTTTTCCCAGCATATGACAGAATCACCTTAATTAGCAGAATGCACCTATAGTGTATTTAAAATTTACAATTGAGTTTTGTCCAAGTATCACTTTGAATGGTTGAGATTCTGTAATAATCCTGTGATGTCTACAGGTACCCCAGTGTATTCTGTTGCCTGGAGTCCTGACTCAGACCACATCCTACACACAAGTGGAAAGCAACTGGTTATTAAACCTTTACAAGCTGCTGCAAAGCCAGTCCAGGTACATGTATGATCAAGTTGGAACTC